GCGCCCGCTCGTCGCGCCGCGCTAGTACCGGTCTCGTCCCTGCCGCGCGCGTTCGTACGGGCGCCGCGCCGCCGTCTCGTCCCCGCGCGCCGAGCGTCTCGTCCGCGCCGCGCCGCCGTTCGTCCCGGCGCCGCCGCCGATCTCGTCCCGCCGCCGGCGCCCCCAGGCCGTTCGGTCCCCGCCGTCTCGCCCGCCGTTCGCCCCGCCGTCTTCGTCCGCGTCTCGTCCCGCGCCCGCGGCGCCGCGTTGGCCGTCCCGCGTCTCGCCCGCGTCTCGACCCGCGTCTCGCCCGCCGTCTCGCACGCCGTCTCGCCCGCCGTCTGCCCGCGTCTCGTGCCCGCGTCTCGCCCGCCGTCTCGTCCGCGCCGCGCCCGGCCGTGCGACCGTCTCGGTCCGCGTCGCGCCGCGGCCGCGTCTCGTCCGTCCCAGCGCCCGGCCGCCGCTTCGTCCGTCCCGCGCCGCGCGCGCCGCGTATCGTCTCGTCGCGCGCGCCCGGCCGCCGTTTCTCCGCGCCGCGACCGGCGCCGGCCTTCGATCCCGCGGCAGGCCGCGCCGCCGTCGTCCGTCGCCGCGAGCGCGCGTCTTACCGTCTGTCCCGCGCCGCAGCCGCGCCGCGTCTCGTCCCGCCGCACGCGCCGGCGGTCGTCTCGTCCGCGCCGCGCCGCGCGTATCCGTCTCGTACCGCGCCGCGCGCGCCGAGTCTCTGTCAGCGACGCGCGCGGGCGCGTTCGTCCGCCCGCGCCGCGCCGCGTCTCGTCGCGCGCGCGACCGCGCGGCGTCTCGTCCCGAGCGCCCGCGTCCGCGCCGACGTCTCGTCCGCCGCGCGCGCCGCGGCGCGCGCGCCGCCGTCTCGTCCGCGCCGCGCCGCGCCGGCCCGAACCGTCTCGTCCCGGCGCGCCTGCGCGCCTCATCGTCCCCGCGCGCGCCGGCGCCGCGCCGCGCCGCGCGCCGTCTCGTTCCCGCGCCGCGCCGGCGCCGCCCGTCTCGTCCGCGCGGCGCGGCGCGCGCGCGCGCGCGCGCCGCCGTCTCGTCCTTAAAATGTCATAGAATTTCTGCTCCTCTTAGATTTCAGTGGAACGCGTGAGCCGAATTGTAATTTGAACCCTAGGTTACAAAAATTTAATTTCATGTTGGAATCAACGACGCCTCCAAGACATCTTCTGTGACGTAGAAACACCACTTACTTACGGATAGGAGCGGTGGAAACCTTTTGTTTTGTAGCAATTGGACAAGATAGTATCTTTCTACTAAATTGAAAATTATTTCATTTGCTTTTAAAATCTTTAGGTACCTACTTGAAGTAATATTTTATTGGAGTCACCAGGTGTGATTTTCCACAAAACGCTTTAATGCTCCGTACGGATGCCCGGCAAACAATTCCAAATACGGAGTGCGAAATTTGTCTTCTAAACAGACATGAAAGACAAGCGCTCTTCTCAATACAAAGTGTTGAGGCAAAACGGATGGTTATAGTTTTAGGCGACAAACTCGTCGTTATGCAACATTAGGGCTTTATTGGACAACCCTTAAGATCTGCGATTTCCTTTCGTGTGCGAAGCTGGAATCTCATCTCTCAGGCGTGCTCTTAATTGGATCTTGCATTTGGGACAAAACCCATGTTAACTTCATTGACTTTTAGTTGCTACATTTTTTGGAACAATCGCCCCAGGATTGCATACGCAAGCCGAAGAGAGGATCTTTGCGCATACTCAGACCAACATGACGACCGTGATTTGGATTATTTTTTTCAACAAGCCTCAGCCGCAGTACTAGCCACTGGCCCGGGATTTTTGTTCGAATACATATCGATCATAGCAAAATAGCTATCGCCACGCACTCTAGGAGACCGCGCACATTTTGTTCGATCATCAGATACTAGCAAAATAGCTTCGGCATCGCACTCTAAAGGAGACCGCGCCTGGCACCATCACCGAGCACAGTGACCGCCCCTGGACGCGCACGCACACGAGGAAGGCCCCGGCCAAGGCGATCGCGCCGGTACTCCTGCAGGTAAGAATCAATATCCTCAGGACCTGTCTCCAAAAGGAATGTCTGCACCAGACCACCGCCACTAATAGCCTCAGCATTGCCTGTAATGAATGTTTGAATTTCTAGATCACTCTACTCTCTGCTCCCATATTTAATTAGGGTCAAATAAAGTTGTGCATATACAATGCCGTTGGATTATTGTATACCAATTTGAGTGAACAACCGTTCTTTACTGGATAATGAAATGTTTCCCTTTTGTTATTAGGGGGGGTTTAACATTAAGCACACTGTGTGACAAATGCGCAAAACAAATTTCCATACCTGAAAAATACACAATTTTACATTTTATCTGAAGATGCGGGGCGTGCTCACTACTCAAGTCACAGCTTAACATTAAAGACAAAACATTCTTTCTCGATAAATTGAGGAATATATTTTCCCAATAATTTTAATACAATAGTCTTTCAAAGAAAATAGTTTATACAAACTGTATAATCGTCCACAAATCCCGCAAAAAGTAATTGTTTTCAACCAACCACCGGTTAGTGATGCCGTTTTTCAGGTTTTATTTCTATTTTTACAATTCCTTAGATTTTAAGTAGTCAAATCTATATTGTACGACTAAATACTGCAATGATCAAATTTCAACTCTTCACCAAGCGATACAGACGTCTACTATGAGTAGTGTAACAGAAAGAGAATATTTGGAAATGTGTGAAACAACATTCAGTGATTGCTTTCTAATCTATAGAACATTCTTTATTCATTTTAATTGCATATAATGTTATTAAATTGTGACAATTTTTCATGGTGTGGAAATGGTTTTAAGGAATACTCGACATATAGCAGCACCCTTACAATATAGTATATAGCATACTCGAACATGCTTTCGAACCATCAGACGGAACGCATCACCATATTTTTCTCGAGCGTATAAAAATAAATACGTAGTTGATCTGAGAAATGCTAATTTCAAACCCAGAATAAAGCTGTTTCTAGTTGCGCGGGGTACATGATTAGTTGTGAACGCAGGTATTGAAAAGTACACTTACTTTATACAAGTAGCGTGACACTTGAATTTGACATTTTCTACAATATAACCAACTATGAAGAATGAACAAGTTCAGATAGTGCATATAAAACACAAATCCAATGTGCACAATATACAAGTTAATGATGAGTATTACGGTCCAACTTCTGGTCACGTAAATTATCTCTACGCGAAATGTCGAGTATATGAAAGAAATGTCTGAAGACTGTTTAACGTGCACCTGTTCATGATGTAAATATTATTTCAGACTCTCCTGAATTTGTTTTCAATGTTTGTCATAACATGACGGGTAATATTTTTTCCATTTCATCCATAAATCTCTCACGAGTGGATTGGGGCATCTACAGATATGTGCCTCCAAAATTCAATTCATGAACCGAGAATATTAGGAAAGGACGCACGCGTGATTAAGCAATATAACGAACGCACCGGACTTTATGAACATGTAGGGGGTTAGTTTCATTTTAAAATAATTTAGGATAGTCTGGCCACCCGTCAACAGTTGTTCTGCAGCTTTTGGAAGGTGTTTGACCGTATTTTATTCTGACCCTCAGCAATTTACGTATTTTATCTCACAAACTGTCCTGTCAGTTTTGCGCATGTAACTGTGTCGCAGTGGCAGGTAGATGTCTAACACTAGTAATTATCCCAGGCGACCAGCGTTTTGGCCGGTACACAGACTTTTTTTACGGTACATTTTTTAATTCTAGCGGTGATGTGTTGAAAATGTGCTGCAATTTAGTTTTTACTCCAAACTGACTTTTGTGGTGACAACCATGGGATACTTTTTTCTGGATGTGTATGGCCTTGAATGCGCATCTTGCACGACAAAGTGAGATAGAGATCGTAAATGTCGTAAAGAATTAATTTTATTTTGAAAACGTGCGCGATTTTGCTATCTCCCCAGATGTTTGTCACGTTTTACTCTCACGATAAAATATGTGGACCATGAGGCAAACAATCATCGAGAATGAATTTCATTCTACCTCCCGTGTGTGCTATATTGTTCCATTCACAATGCGGGCGGGGGAAAAAGAACAATGTAGATATTAAAAAAATAGAAATCTCTTGTAAATTATTTCCGATTACAGTATAAACTATTGTGTTCGAAGCATAATGTTCTTCAGAATAATTCAGCTTGAGAATAATTCAACATGAGCTTCAGAATAATTCCCGTTTAGCACTTTTTATAAATATCTGCTATAATAAAATGCTTAAAAGTTTAGCATTTATATTATTGTACAAGTATGATTATTGGGGAATATTTTGTGATGCAATTGCAGAATTAATCACTTCTATTTCGGCTCTCCAACTCCAATTATCTGCAAAGTGCCATGAAAAACAATATTCAAGAGTAAATACTTTATACTAAATAAATAGTCAATATGGTCCCTCTTGCTGTAAAAAAATTAAAGGATTCTTCCTCGTCGAATATCCAACAAGCCAGCTACGATGCAGTTTACGCATTGCATACCATCATTTTACCAAAATATCAAATAAAACGCATTAATTAATGTAGCAATATTTTTGACATTTTCATGTTACGAAATGCTGCAATTTACTTGCATCACTGAATTCTTTATCGCGTTTTTTCAAAATAGTCAATATAATTGAGTTTTAAGGAGATTGTGTCGGGAGGAAATCCCCAGGTCTTATTCGCTACATCAATTACAATACTTTATTAACCTAGGTTCACAAACAATCTGCGTAAAGCACACCTTATTAACACACATTTCATATTTCGTAGAGAAAACATATTTTGAAGTACCGAAATGCTCTACTAACCTTATAGTGAAAATAGAAAATCCCTAATTCCCAAATACGAGCCATCTTCGCTGCATATGAATGGATACGTATGGCTGCATATGTGTGGATGGTACATTCCGTTTTATCAGGTCGCAAGGATTCAGGATTTCTGAAAGTTTAAAACAAATCATTTCTAGTAATTGTAAGAATTTTGAGAATGACACACACACATATGCTCAGAATAATTAGCGTCGGTCGGTCCCAACTCTGTATACCTTTCAGACCATCCAGAGTGTATAGGGCAGTCAGTTCATCCAGTGTCAGACGAGATGGGTACCACAGTGAGGATAACATCCTTCAGGACGTTGCTGCCCACGTTGTCCTCGGTGAGGCCCCAGCCCGCCGCCACCAGCGCCTG